GCTCGAAATGGCTATATGGAATTATGCGGATGAGAGAAGCTCAAAACAGAGAAGAATGGAGAAGTTGCCAATGCTGCACTAATGACGAGAAGAAACGCAACAGTGAAATAGTCCCTCCCACTTTCAGTACATTTATGAAATTATGTGGATGAGAGAAGTGCAAAACAGAGAAGAATGAAGAAGTTGCCAGTGCTGCATCAGTGGCGGGAAAAAACGCGACGCACTGAAACAACAGCTGATCTAAGTATCCAGATGCACTGAGATACGTCCCAAGGGGGAGTTCCGAGTTTTGCCAATAAAAGCCGTTGTTTCATTACTCAGGAGTTTAACACGTTTTGAAGTGCAATTTTTGGCATGGAGGCTTTTTTATTGATTTCAGAACAGTGTGCTCGTGGGAAGAGTCATTCAGTGAACCCTCGTTAAGTCGGGGACAATTACTCGATCAACCAGTAACAACAACATCCGCTAATGAGTGACGAGACGAATACGAATGAGAACGGGGCTGAGCAGGTGTACCAGTTGACTCAGAGGAGTACCCAGTTCAGTCAGTCATTGAGAGTGAGTATAATTTATTTCATTTTTCAAATTTTTGCTGTAAAATTTGTCGAAAAAAGATTTACAAACACCGACCATCATAATGACGAGGTCCTGTCGCAGTGTTAAGAAATATATGACTTAGTGGACCGAAACGTCTTATCTCACTTTTACCTTCTTTTCTCATACTGTTCTTTCTGTATTCTACAACGTCTTCGTACTTAGGTTTCCGGGGTCAACCTGTGTGCTACAATTGGCTTACAAGAACAATGTTTTATATTATTAACGAAAACGGCGTGATCCTAGCCTTTATGGTTTCCGAGTTATTAATTTAGGCGTCAAAACTTTCATACAATCAAAACAAAGACAAGGCAGGCTCGGACGCTGAATTTGCGAGATCAAAAACGCGGCGGGTAAAGGGTCAAATAGCCCTAATCTGATTATCGCGTGATTGTAGCATGAAAGTAATATGAAGGACGTAGAAAAGAAGGCAAGAATAGAACGAACTATGTAATGCAAGAGGTAGAAATATTGCTGGTACAGGAAAAATAAGTATGAGAGAGTTAAGATCGAATTTTATGCTGAAGATCGGATTTTCAAAACTTCCCAGTAAGACAGTCAACCCCTGTACGATTCGTTCATTCATTTCGATGATAAATGGTATTGCTGGCGCATGCCAGGGAGACAGATCCAGCATCAGTTTCCTTCGAAGCAATCTACGAAAGAGGGAACTATCGACAGCTTTGCCAGCGGATGGTTGCTGTTAGCTTATGCTTTCCCGAGTACCTTCTCATCTCAGAGGGTGTTTTTTGTTAACTTTCTTTGTAGCGTACCAGCACTTTCTTTTCCGCTCTCTCCCTGGCGCTAGAATTTACCGTTTTTTTTTCTTTTTTTTGAAAAAGATTGGTGGAAGCCTCATCCCCTTGCCCCTTTCCCCCTTGCCCCTTCCCCCCTCCCCTCCCCTCCCCATACAAATGCACTTAACGTCTGTGTCAGTTTTGCTCAGGTTTGCACTGTTTTCCGCTTCTTTTTTTTGAAAAAAATAAGTGGAAGCCTCATTCCCTCGCCCTTTTCCCCCTCCCACCTTGCTCCCCTTCCCGTCCGCCCCTCCCCCTCCCCCTCCTAACAAATGCATTTAATGTCTGTATCAGTTTTACTCAGGTTCGCTTCAGTTGCTACTTGATGTGGTTCGTTGCCCAGGAGATTTTAGCCCCCTTAGCTACTTTAATTCCGAAGTTACAAAACTGTCTGCGTCAAATTTCACGTGCTTGTACGTAAGATACGAAGAAGTGAATTGCCCTGTTTCCCCAGTAAAGAACGATCTTAAAGAAAAGATTTGCGGGTGACCAGTGGGCAGTGGTCATTTTGCAGGATTGGTTCAGTGGACGAGAGCGAGAAACATGCAAAATTTATGCCATATTGCATCCGATGGCCGAAGGACTGCACCGTATTGGTTAGTGTATTGAAATAGAAAGGAAAGAAGGGGTCATGGAAGTTAGCAGCGAAGAAGTAAAGGAGATACTTCGCTCGAACATGACTTGAAAAACGTGGATTTTAACTGTAATTTACAATTTGATTCATCAGATATGCAGTTGGCAGCTGATTTAAATGCTTTAACCTGTGCCACTTAGCTTCAG